GAGGAAGGCAGGGAGTACATAAGCTTGACTTTCTGATTATTGTAGAATGGTGTTGGTTCACCAAACCTCCTGCTGTGTGGGGTTAAGCGTGGCTTCCACCACGATGAAGGGATTTCTATTCCAACTTAGGAAGGCTCTGAGAATGATCAAAAATTCTGAAACTAAGTAAATATCTTGCAATTTTGGGGTGGCTGGGTAGGGCTCATCAGGGCTCCCTTGCTTGATTCTGCTGTGTGCTGAAACTCAGCAACACTACAGAGACTGTGCTGCGGATGGGGCAATAATTACCACGTTTGCATAGCTGTGTAGTGTCTGCTTGTCTTTTGTGATGGTGAGATAGGCTGCTGCACATTAGCAAAGCTTTTGGGGTTGATACAAGGCACAGGCCAGACTCATCAGTTCCCCCTAGCTGCCTATTATCATCTCTGCTTCTTATTCTCACCTTGTTTTTCCTCTCATCTTGTCCACTTATAATATTGAATATGAAAATATAAAATATGACTTTCTAGTTCATATGTGGACTAAAAAAATTGAGAAGTGACTACTCGTATAACAGTACCATTAAAGGTGCTATCTGGACAGTCCTTAACAAAATTGGTCTTAGAAGATCAAAACATAAATTCAAATATATGAATGTGTTTCAAAAATCTTATGACCAGCCATAATCACAAAATAAATTGCAAATCACCTGTATAGCTCCTCCTCACTTCACAAATACTCTCTAAGCCCCAACCAATCTGTCCCCTTACTTCATCTATAAAAGTATCAAAACTGCTAACTATAAAAAGTAGCTATTGGCCTGATTCAGCTCAGTGGTGCAGCTCCTGCTTAATAAGTAAAAGGTCCTGAGTTCAATCTCCTGTACGAAAAAAATAGTTAAATATTCATTAAAATGTTCACAAGTGGAATGGTATACAACATTTAAAAAGACATATTATGCCCAAGAAAGTTTTATCCAAGCAATCCAGATACTTGACCCCTACAGCTATGACAGAAGGAAGCCTCTCTACTGCTCCAGATAACAGCAGACCTTGGTATCATCCATATAGTTCTAGGATTAGATACATTCAGAATGCAAGAATAATGGTGTCAGGAAAGTTTTCATCGTGTCTCAAAAAGCCTGGGAGGCCAGGCAGTGTTCTCTCAAGGGCGTTTTTCTTCAAGCTGTGATTGCAAAGTTAAAAGAGCAGTGGAGACCATGGAATTGTGGAACTATAAGGACCATGGATCATCTGAAGAAATCTGCAAGTATTGGACACAGCCAACCCAAGAGAGAAGCTGCATGGAAGCTAAAACCACTGGCCGTAACATAAGGATCAAGACATCCAAGCCTTTAGAGTTAAGAGCTAGCCATGTGCTACTCCAGTTGCTGGACATGACATTTCATTATGTAATGTTGCTTTGCTGGAGTTTGAACTTTCTTTGGGTTCGTTCTTTCTTAGTTCATACTTATAGTCTCTGGAGTGGAAATATTTATTGTGTGTCATTCTTTGTTTGAAAGCTTTAATTTTCTTTTTGTTTGTACAGGAATCACAGCTACAAATTTTCCTTAAATCAAGAGAACATTTTGGCGTTGGACTTTTTAGCACTCCTGAAATTTTAGGATGCTGGAAATACTTATAAATGCCTTTTGCATAAAGGAACGTGCATGATTATTTTGGGAGTCAAGTTTGATGTTATGATATGTATGTGGATGGTCTACAAAAATTTATGTGGTCATATGTGGGAGGTAATAAATGTGGCTTGATTAGTGTTTGTCTTTGGATTAATTGTCTGACATTGGAATTAAGCACTAGGGTAGTGGAAGTCCCATCGTGTGTATTAGTGGCACCAAGAAATTGGTTTATAGCCTGGATGAAATATAAAGTGACAAAAAGCAGGCTAGCTTGTTACTGCTACAACCTGTATGTCATGCTCTCCATTGCCATGTCATCCTGCCTTGAAACCACTGGATTATAGACTGAAGCCTCTACAATCCATGAGCTAAAATAAAACTTTTATTATTTAAGTTGTGAATGTTGAATATTTTATAACAACAATGAGAAAAGTAACTAGGAAGAATTGCCAGATTTCAGTTTACACAAGTAAAAAAAAACACTGAAGAAAAAGGCAATAAAAACTGTGACAAGCAAATACAGAGGAAAAACTGAGGCAGTAACAGAAACTTAATTTTGACAAAGATATATCACCTGATGGATTCATGCCTGGATATTAAAATAACTTAAGTGAATAAATAATGCCAATAATTCTCAAATATTTTAGTTAAATTGAAAAAGAATGAGTACTTTCCAAATTGATTCCTAGAAGCTACTGCCAGAGAATACATGGATCTATAAAACAAAGACAGACAAGCACAACAGAATATCTCCAGAATGGACTCAGAAGTATGCCATGTGATGCTAACTTAAAATCAGAGTAACCTGAATTATAGCTGGAATAATCTTTACTTTTTTAATATACTTAGTACAGGGTCTACAGGGTCGCACTGCACAGATTGGACTCATAGTGATCCTTCCTGTTTGTTCAGCCTGGCAAATTCTGACGGAAGTGCAGACTCATATAACCACTAGGGATCCTTATGGAGACCTCTTAAAATCTAGTATTGGTGATCCCATTCAAGCCAGGGGAATGTCTCCTGGGTATTTTTCCAAAACAACTGAAAACCTCATACCACAGTGATATATGTACACACATATTTCTAGCAACAAAATTTGTCATAGTTTAATCCTAGAAACAGCACAGATGCCCATCAACTGAGGAATGGATAAAGAAGATGTGGGTTTTTACACATGGAATATTATTCACATACAAACAAGATAAATTTAAATATTTTATCTGCAAATGGATGCAACCAGAGAACCTACTCTTAAGTGAAATAAAATAGACTCACATGTGCAAACATCGTATTTTCTCTTAGTGTGCAAACTTGAAAGAGAAAATGGAATCTGAAGGGTACAATAGATACTGAGAAAAGGGAATGAACTTATTCAAAAGGAAAGAGTTACTGAGTTGAAGCGAAGGACAGAAGAATTATTGAGGGAAAGAAATATATCTATATATGTAAGCAAGAAGATTTGTACAAATTTTACTATGAATAGCTGCTGATCTATTGAAAGGAGCAGATTATGCTTAATCTGGTTTGTGTTCTTTTTTCAATTGTTTGCACTTTTTCTCTTCTTAATTTCTTATACATTTCTTTCTTTTCATCTTTCTTTCAATTTTGCATATACATAGCTGGTAATATGAATAACTGGTTGCAGAACAACATTATGCTTTACAACAAACAACATGAAATTTGTATTGTTTTCTTAGATGAAATTTTGTATCACTTATTTTTTTCTGTTTAGATACCATTTTTTACT